CATAAAAGCAATTTAAAAAATGTTAAAAGAGTTTAAAATAGAAAACAAGGCTAGTTAAAAGAACACAACATGCACTCAATCTTAGTGGGGCTGAAGTTCAATCAGAGATCATCAGCCCCAGGCCTGCCGGAACAGCCAGGTCTTAACAGACTTTTGGAAGGGTGGGGAGGGTCCGGATCTCAGGGGGTAGATCGTTCCATAGGGCCGGGGCAGCTACAGAGAAGGCTCTCCCCCAAGGAGCCGCCAGACGACATTGGGTAGTCGACGGCACCCGGAGAAGGCCCATCCTGTGACATCTTATCGGACGCTGGGGGGTATGTGGCAGGAGGCGGTCACGGAGATATCCAGGTCCTAGGAAATGATCCAAAAATAATATTTTTGCCTTCTTAACTTGTATCTCTCTCTGTGGGCATAAGGTATGTGTCTTATTTATATAACCTAGCTGATAACTTTGAGTGCAAAGTGCCATTTGACATCATCAATTGCTTCCCCCCCCCCACCCTCTGTCTCGGTTTTCCCATCTGTAAAATGGATCCATTCTTTCATCACACGTGATTTTTGTTTTATCTTACGATTCACTGCCAACTCAATCCGTGGCCCTTCCTCTTCTTTCTTTCACGATCGGTCTTAAAATTAGGGAGAGCTTTTGTTTACATGGGTTGTGTTTATGGATACTTACTGTATTCATCAATTAAAATTCACGTTCTGCTACCAGTTCTCATCTCGCCTTCCCCGGAGGCACCTGGTTGTGGGATCCCTGTTTTAGAAAGAAAGAACTTCTGAACCCTGATTAAGTTTATTATGTGACATTTAAATGTGATTAACATTAGGGTTGTACAAAGTCACAGTGCAGAGGAGGGCTCCCTGAATGGAATTAAGATGTCGGATTGGAATCGATCCTTTTGAAGGTATTAGGCAACTGAATGATTAAGGGAGGTACTAATACCACTCTACAAATCCTAGTAAGACCACACCTAGAGTACTGCATCCAGGTTTGGTCACCACACTATAAACAAAAGACATTGAGACTCTAGAAAGAGTGCAGAGAAGAGCAACCAGGATGATTAGACGGCTGGAGATTAAGTCATATGAAGAAAGTGTGCAGGAACTGGGCATGGTTAGTCTAGTGAAGAGAAGGACCAGGAGAGACAAGAGAGCAGCTTTCCAATATTTGAGGGGCTGCCACAGAGAGGAGTTAGGGGGTCCAGCTATTTTCCAAAGCACCTGAAGGCCAGATGAGGAATAATGGATGGAAACTGACCAAGGAGAGATTCAACCTGGAAATAAAGAGAAATTTCCTGACAATGAGAACCATCAACCCATGGAACAGAATTTGCCTTCGGAAGTTGTGGGAGCTTC